ACAACCAAAATTCCCAAATTTTGGTTCGCAGGCATTACACTTTGACCTCCAACCGGAAAAATGCCAAAGAGGATCAACTATAGTCATCTATAGATTTAAGACTAGCCAACTTCTCGCAAGAGAAAAACTACAGATCAACTTAACAACTTCATCTTGAAACCAAATCCTACAACCGAAAAGAACAAGAAAAGGTTATTAGATCCCTCCACAGTGATGAACCATCCCAAAAGTGAACCCAACTAACATGACCCAACCAATCGCTAAACTCTGAAACGACATGGGGTACTAAAACTATAGCATGACTAAGAACAAACTTCAATACCAAATCAGATACCATAAACTCAGCAAAAACCTACGCCGAAAGACATAATAAGTAAACACACGTACACATGGATACACACTTGAGAGCTGAAGAGACTCAACCAAACTGATATAGACTAGATAAGAACTAAGAGAGCACTACAAAATTAAGAGAACTAGGGCCAAAACCGAGAAACCAAGGCTGGTCCTCGATCTACAACAACGAATTGACAAGCCAAACAACAACTGATAACCCTGAAGCTAGCATCGAAGATACCTAATGAACTTGGAAAAAAGAAGCATATCAAGCCACACCGCTTGAGTAAGACAAATCACTGATCCAAAATAGTGAGTCTCACCAGATTCAAATGAGGAGCCCAGAATCGTTGGAGTAGAAATTGCAGGCGACTGCAAACCAAGTCGCGCGATAACCCTCTGTGTCTGATACGACCATTCTGCCCAACCAGAACTGACCAGATCTAAGAACCATAACCACCAATCAAGCATTTCCACCTCAAGCATATACCAAAAAAGAACTGAATAAACACCGCAAAAGAAATCTAATAGAAGGAAAATTTCAACGAGCAGGACTGACGCCTGCGATTGATGAGCCACCGAGAGCTGGTCACATAACCAATGATGATGTCAGCGGCTAGGGCAAACTCTTCGTGGAAAATAAAATAGTTCAAAAATCATTGTAGTTAAATATTACCACCAAATACAATCACAAAATAGACCTACAAAAATTATATATAGATATCCCTAAGCAATTTAAGAGTGGACACGACCAGACTTCCAACATTTGACTTGTGATCAAGTAGGATCTTTGGAATACGCTATATAACTGAGTTATTGTAGTGGTATTCTGTCAAACAACATCATAGTCATTGTCCTTTGATAGTCGAAAGCTATAAAGAAAGAACTCTTGGTATCTATCTTATTATATGTAACAACAATTGTTGGGTA